ATTCTTTATGTGCAGAGATATGATTTCAGTATAATTAAAGAAATAATCTATAATAACTTTGAGTTTTATAGAATTAAAATATTATAGTTTATATAAAACTTCAATAAAAACTGCCTGGATTTACTAGTTTTTGATAGAAATAGGCTATAACTATCTGAATACCAAAAAGATTAAATTATTTGATAATAACTAGGGAAGTCTTGTTTTAACTGAGAATTCAGAGATTTATTAATATATTAAGTATATTGTTATAAAATTTCATTATATTTGCAAATAAGTAGTTAAAGATTATATTAATCTATAGTTTGTTCCAATTGATTAATAAACTATTAATAGATTAACAAAACCATTTTTGCTTATAAAATCTACTTGATTTATTAAATTATTATATATAAATAAATATTAATATAATGGAATAATCTAATTGTTGAAAATAAAGGATATTTGTATTAATAATAATAATAATATATATTAGAAAAAAGTTAATCAGGGGTAATAACTAGGAAAGGGAAATTAAAAAGAATAAATTAGAATCAAGATTCCAGAAATTAAGAGATTTATATATTATCTATATTATTAATTAAGGGGTGTATTGAATATAGTCAGTTTCGTGATATATATAATATATATATAGAGTACAATAAGCGACCACTAGTTTAATGCATATATATATATAGTTTATTAGAAAGCTCTTTTTCTTAATATTCTTTAAGTTAGCCAACAAGTATTGAACCTATTATATAATATTCAGTTTACGTGATTTATCATTCAACTATACTTGACCTACATTTCAACATATTATATTAATAATCTCTAAATCTGAAATCCTTGGCAGTTGTTTTTTTGCGGATGTATACCTGCTCGAATCTCATCTACAACTATCCATTTTATATTTCCTATCCAAAGTACCTCCCCAAGAAGAATACTCAATCATCATCCTAGTTTCAAATATTAGTAAATATCAAAGTCCAAGCCACTGCGAATTGCACATTTGATATTCCGAATCCTGTTCTCCCGACATTTCCATCTATACCCGATCCCCTCCCCTTTCGGAGTATCAGCTCTAATTTATTCATGGTGTTCATCTCTTATCTAACACAATAGACATGAGAGAAGAATGGGTCACAGTGAAGTCTCCTTATACAATAAGACGAAAGGAGGTCAATTGTCCCATATAGGTAGGTGAATGGAAAGCTAGTCCTCATAGAATTAGATGTTAGATTGCTAGACAGAGACTTGTTGATTCAGGAAGTAGAAAGCACCCAAAAGTGCCATGTCATCATCTAAGATAAGTAATTCCGATTATTTGATAACTTGTGAGATTGGAACTTCGTATTGGTTGAAAGATAATCCCAGCCATTTAAATGCTCAAGACTATCTAATCCCACCAGGCGGAATCAGATCAAGCTCCTACCATGAAAAAGGCCCTATTGTCACCATTCATACCAGTGATACCACTAGAAGCAGCTTCACGTCCTGATCCCCTAGTACCAGCAGTAATATGGCCATCACTTCCTACTACCCAGCCACCAGCTCCCCTACCACCAATCGGCGCATATCCCACACCACGCACCATTTTCAACCCCTCGTGATGATCCTTGAAAACGCCCTTGAGTCCATTCCAGACACGCTTTCTGAACCCCAATTTGACCCCTAAACAGCAATGCAAAAGTATCTTAGTCAATATTCCGGGGATCAAAATAGAACAACGTGAAATCAACGCAGTAACAATCTATCAAATGATCTCTCGGGCGTTCTTTGCATCATCGCCGTTGTTAGTCTCCATCAACTTCTCTAAGCCTACTGTGACTTCCTCGACCTTCAATTCTACCCCGAATTTTTTGTCACGCTTACCAACATCAATTGATCCTGCATAGCTGGTGTGACTCAATGCGTCTGCCTGTATCATCCAAGCCTTTTGTCCCAAATCGGTCAATCTTGGACCAAATTTTGTGAGTAGATCTTGAACTACCTCATTTGTCGGTTCCTCTTTGGGTAAACCTGTCATGTCTAGACCCCCAAAAGAGGCACGGTACTGTTGATTATGAGTCAGCTGTGCTCATTTCAAGGAAACGGCGTAGAGGAAATGCCGGTTAGCGTAATTTAATAGACCGGGCTGGGAAACTAGATGTGAAGACTTTCAACATTCGCAAGGCTGCGAATATACAAATATGCTTTGATATTCAGAATGTACTCAATATTACACATAAATTAAGAGTCTCTTATTATCGGACTGCAGTCTGGACTATTGAACAATCTGCGGAGGTTGAAAGCATGGGGAAGTTGAAAAAGTACTATAGCGCAGAGAGGTAAGGAGAACTCACCCAATCTTTCTGCCACTCTTCAATGGCTTTGATCGCCTCTGGATGGCTAACTTCAATATCCTTCGCAATCATGTAAAAGCTGCTTCTCGTAGCATGCTTTCTACTTGGTTTGAAAACTTCGACCTTTGCAAACTTCGAAAATGTGTACAACAAGGAGGCTGAGTGCCAGGTATCAATCTTGTGTAACAGCATGACCAAAGTGCCTCCCTTGTGCATTCTGTTCATGGCGAGAATCAGCTGTGAGGTTTGTAGGCGTACTGTCTCCTTGTTAAGATTGGCATCATATGTATCCTTGATGCGATCATGAGTACGAAGCGTCTTGCCATCAGCGAATACGAGATGAAATTTGATATGCTTGAAAGGTTTGATGTCACTGAACCTCGACTTGAAATCCTCGGGAATATCCTTGTCACTTGGGCAGAACTCCGTGTACATTGTAATATCATGGAATCTGAGGCCTTGGAGACGACTTTTGCCAATAATAACAGTATGACCACCAGCTTCAGTTGCCAAAGTAATACCATACGCCTTACAGCCGTTACAGTGGTCGAGAGCGGCTGCAGTATAACCGCCAGGAGCCATACAGAGGTCGAGGATATTGACTTGATTGTCTTTGGGGGAAGAAATCGTGAAGATGTGGTGAGATCCATGCATTTCCTGTCCGATCTGTTGCATCATCTTGTAAAAAGCACGTTCTTCCTCTGGTGTGGTCGAATCGGCACGTTTTCGCTGCCGTCGGAAGTGCGCATCTCCCTCTTCTCTATTGTCATGCCATCCCTATGTGCAAGTATCAGTGATCGCACACGACCTTGAAATCAACAAGTGAAGGGGTCGCGAGAAGAGCACGCAAACTTGAGATCAAAATGTCCCACGAGGACATTGAAAGAACTTACCCGGCTCCTAAGCTCAACAACTCTTCTACATTCCTCATTTGACAGTATCAAATAAATCTTCAACAATTGCGTAGCATGCGTAGTTTGTTTTTCACTAGGATCATCACGAATTCCCAACTTCTTCGACGCTTCTTCAAGGGTTTGACTGAAGAGCTCCATGGCGAGATCTTCGATGCTCAAGATCGTACCATTTTCTTTCAAGGTTGCAAGTTTTCTCTGGAAGATCTGGAGCTCTTCCGCGACCTTCAGTCCATTGTCAATATTTGAATCCATGATTGAAAGGCAATTATGGATATATATCAACTATCGAAGATAATCCTCAGGGTATCATCTATGTAAAATCTTTCCTTGATAGATTCCGTGGGGGATCAACTTCCGGAAGGTGAAGGAAGTGCTTATCCGAAGACGAAACTTTGTGTATTATGCAGCTGAGGTAGTGGAAAGGTGTAGAAGAGATGTGGAGAATGAGTTTATATAGAGAATTTAGAAGAAGATCAGAGACGTGATAGACACACAATGTGATGTCGAAGAGATAGTTCAAAGAACTTATCATATCTATGAAATGAAGGTCTGCAATGTTGATGAGAAGGTGATTGCACAGATCAAACAACACATATGCCATATGAATGTGGAAGGCATCTCAAACCACCAACTTGCAACTATCAGCATCATCGCACCTACCACGCAGAGTTATTTCTTTGTCAACACCAAAGTTCCAAAGGTCCAAAAGTCACCAAACCTCATTTCATTAAAGCCTCCCTCACTTCATCAAAGATATAAGAGTTACACATTCCGACACTTCAATTAATCATGAGATAGTTTTCCTGTCAAGAATTTCTATAATACAATGTAGCTGCAAATTTTGTGTTTCTTCTATCTTATGTGACACTGAAAGGATTTCCATACACCCCTATCATTCATGAGGAGAGGGTGTATGCATCATATCATTGTATTTGCAAATTGCGCATGCCAAAAAAAAAGTAAAGTAAAAGCAATTTTCTGTAACCATTGATCGCATGCATGAAACCCAATTTTTTTTCTCGGAAAAAGCATTACGCCCGACTGACAGAATGTCTGTCGAAGACTTTTGATGGTGGTGAAACTAAAAGTATGCCGTGGCTATGCCAGAATATGAACATGTAAAAAGCAAACATGAATGAAAGAAAAAGCCATATCTCTGCCGAGAAGGAGGAAGGCTGAAGCTTCATAGCTCAAGTGATAGTAGTCGTGGCCCGAAGATCTCCAATCCTCTGATAGCTCCTATTAAACGCCGTAGAAACCACATATCAAATCTCGTAAATACAGTCAACGTAAGTTGTTCAGATCATAACATCTGTATCACTACATGTCATACGAGCGAAGGCCAACATTGTAGGATTGAAGCGATCAAAAGTCGTGCGTGCCACGTTGAAGCAATTCCAGAAGACAAAGGGACAATTCGGAAAAAGTTATGGTGGAAGAAGGTAGATGTGAAACCAAGTACGTAGCCATGATAGTCAATGGCCAAGCATGACTTCAAAGCTACGTGGGTAGAGAGGTGATTTATTGCTCAAGTTGTTTCTTCAACTTGACATCGAGTAGATTATCAATCTTTTTTCGACTCTTCAAGTCGAGAGCACCGTTTCGCCAAGAAGCACGAAGTTTTGAGAATGCAGATCGCTGGATCGAGGAGTCATCACCCTTGACAATATCAACATAATGCCCGGCCAAGACGTCGTTGATAGTTCTCTTCTTGTTGTTGAGGGTTTCATCGTAGTAAAGAATCAACTGTTCCATTCCAGTAGAGGCCTTGTTGTGGTTGTCTTCGAGAGCCAGTCTGCGGAATTCGTAGTACATGCTTGGATTGAAATTTCTGCACAAAAAGTGGGCCCAGAACTCATAAAGTAACTTCATGTCGGTATGAGTTTCTCCAGGCTGACTACTTCCACGAACTCTGATGGCTCTTTCGCGGAAGATAGTATATTTCTCAGTGGTATTGGATTCGGATATTGCTGCTTGTCGTCTTTGGTCCTTAACCCACATGACTGTTGGAGCATTGCTGTTGTAGCCTGTATTTGGAGAAATCGTCCGTCGATCAGTATCTGAAGAGCTAAGATGGTACATGTCAGAACAGCAGTTTAACGTGGAGGTCAAGGTGGCACATAATTACCTCTCTTGCGGGTGAGACCCATTGACCAAAGATCGACCTTGGCGCTCTTCATACAATTCCTCATTGATAGACCTACCATCAATTGACCCATTGGAGAAAGTTCTGGAGGATGAGTGGTGGTATGGGTGCTTGGCAGGCTTTTGATCGCTAGCCTTGCGGGAAGCTTGAGAAAATACCAAATTTAGGTTCTCAACCTGTTCATCGGTGAAGGTGGTTTCTGATGCTAAAGGGTCAGGTGTCGGAACGGTGTTCCCATTTATTGGTGATAGACCAGGGGTAAAGTTAGGTACGGCGGCTGATAATGGGGTATCTTCGTGGTAATGAATACCGTTACCGTTAGACAAAGGGACCTGGGAGGCTCCGTGTCCATATCTCACAAAGTCATTTCCACCGGGACTGAAGGCTGGCGAGCCCATTTCTTGGCCTGGCATCATCATCTGGCCCATATCTCTTGGTGGTGGATGATTTTCGCGAATCAAGGTAGTTGGTCCGTCATTATACTTAAAGGACTCTACTCTCTCCTCAGATGGCATCACCCATTGGTCCCAACCATCGCGTCTTCGTAATCTGTCAATGCCATCCTCACCCTTGACGATCTCAATTTCGGTAGATTGTTGGGACGCATATCTCAACATTTCAACATCTCGTGAGAGAGACTGAATTCGTTTGAAATCGGCAACAAAATGTAGATAGACAAACCCTTGCGAATCCATGTGTCTCCTTAAGAAAACGTCCTTGCAAAGATTGTTGATGGAAAAATAATACTCCAATTGCATCTTGACCATCGACAATAATGTCACAGATTGGGAGTCGGCCAAAGAGCCGTATGGCAAAGCGCTCAAAGCTTGCATTGGGACGTAGTCGTACATGGTTTGCAGAGGTGCCATTTGTTGGTTACCATTCGCATAGCCGCCTCTTGGGTACATGGCAACGTTTGGAATGGATTGTGATCTGGAGCTACCACGGCCACGGGGAGGAGCTTGGGTATACTGGTGGCTGAATGGTCCCGGAGGTGGCGGGCTGTATGGCGTCGAATTTTGTCGGCCTTGGTAAGTGGGAATTGTAGCGTGGCCATTGGCGAAAACATGTTGACCATTGAGGAAAGTATTGTGAGAGCCTCTACCACGATAGCCTCCACGACCTCTCTCTGGTCGACCTTCAGCTCTTTCTCGCTGATCCTTGCTTCCATCATTTCTGCGGTCGCCAAAACCAGATTTAGCTGAAGACTGTCCTTCGGCAGCACCTTGTCCTTTGTGACTGTTTTGTTTGTCCTTGTCAGTCTGGGTAACGATAGAAGCACCATCAGTCGGTGATACAGGTTCATTCTTGTGGGCACCCCCCTTTGCTTTCTCGGCGTTTGGTGTGACCACGGTCTTGCGTGGATCACGGCTGATATCGTCATCGTTTGCAAGCTTCTTAGAAGAGTTTGGAGGAAGTGACGATGATCGGACCCCACTTTTTTCATTCACTTCACCAGACTCAGCAGGCTTAGCAACACCTCCTGTCAACTTTTCTCCAGTAGCACCATTTAGTACATGGCTAGTACGTCCACCTTCACGGCCAACACGAGCACCACCTCTTCCTCGACCGCCTCGAACTGGTAACGGAGTGTTGAATGTGACTGAAGGCGTATATGGTACCGGCACCCACTTCTCCTTCGTTCTTGGTTTATTGGAGGGGTTCTCGTCTTTCTCGTCTTTCTTGACTTTGTCTTCCTCTTGAAGCTTACGCTTCTCTTCTTCTAGTGCGGTTTCTGGTGTTGGCCATGCCATAGAATCCTCAACTGGAGGAGGTAATGAACTAGCAGCACTCTTATCTTTTTCATCAGTGCCCCCCCTACTGCCTCTCGCAGGTCGCTTGGCCGAATCCTCTTTCCCCTTGGCCAGACCATCTTGCCCTTTCTTTTGACCCTTATTCGAAGCAATATCCTCGACAGAATTCTTTCCCTTTCGTCTCGAGTCAGTAGGTTTTGTAGTTGGAGAAGAGGTTGAAGTTTCACTGAAGGAGTTTGCTGTTTGAGGTATTGATGGGCTTGACTTTGTCTTTGCTGCTTGTGCCTCCTTGCGCTGCTCCCAGAAATTTACAGCTGGAGGTGGAGCTGGAACCAGAGGAACATCTGGTACTTTCACCTCCTCTTTGTCTTTCTCCTTCTCCTTATCTGCCTCCTTGTCGTCCTTCTTTTGCTTCTTGGACTTCTTAGGCTTTCTCCCCTCACTCATCTCTGCGGAAGGTTTTTCTTCTCTGCTTCGCCCGGCTTTCTCCCACCTTTGTTCAGACATATCCGCAGTCCTGCTCAAAGCAAGCTCCTCCTGCTCCTTTGAAATTGTTGTAGTTGAAGCAGCACCAACGCTTGGTGACTCTGGCATAGAACCAGCGCCTACTTGTGGTGTTGGTTTCGCATCCGTGTTCACTCCAACTCCCAATGGATCGCCTTTGCTCCGAGATTCGGTGGCGCCATTAATATTTCTATCACCGTTTTCAGATCCTGCAGCCCCGTTGACTGACACCGAAGGTGTGTTTGATACAGAATTCGATTCCTTAGCAGGTGTGCTGACACCAGACGCTGATGTTTGGCTTGACTGCATAGCTGAGTTCGCAGTTGAAGTTGCGCGACCTTTTGCAGCCATCGCATATGAGAATGTAGGCGGGGTAGGGGTGCCCTCAGATTTCGGTATTGTCGATGCCATCATGAATTATACCACGTAAGATATGACTTCTTCCTTGAATCAAGCAAATCCAACTCTCGCGAACGGGTACTCGTTAATGTTTCAAGTAGATACAGAGAGGTGTCCGAAAATTTTCACCCTCAGTATTGGATGTCCGGAGAGGTTTTACTCGACCTCTCCGCACTGCTAACCCAATGCGCTGATCAGATTCTAACGTCTAAATATCGAATCGATTCGATACAGACCAGGAAGATGCGAGATCCGAAAAGCTCAGAAGTATTTGGTTGCGCGAATTTCGCAAAATTTCCAAGTCCAAGAAATTACTTGAAGATATAAGGGCAGATCAAGGATCGGTGGTCAACAAGTTGAGTGTGTTTATGAATCGTAGGCAGTAACTCGTGTGGAACGAAACGGAAGATTTGTTTGATGGCACAGGTGGTGCTGGCGGCAACGCGAAGTAAGCTCGAACAACTGAATGGAAACTGCGATCTATAGTAGGATGTTAGCTGTATTATTCCAACGTATCATGACCAATTTGTGAATCAATATGACCAGAGACACAACTCCTTCGAGTTGCCTGATCTACAATTGCGAAAGTGATTATTCTGAAAGTGCCAAAAAAATTCCCACGTACCTTTCAAGATAGTAAAAGAACTAGAAGATCAGTTGTATAGGAGAAATCCTTTCAGTATTTAAACTAGAGAACAGGCCAGCAACGATGATGTATCACAGTTGCTGTCTTCTGGAAATGTCTGGTTGCTGTTTCCAAACAAAAGAGATGGGTGTTTTTAGGAGAGGGTATTTCAAATGTGAGAAGCCCTTTGATCAATTTACGAGAAGAGGTTCAAATGGTCGAAAGGAAAGAGATTGAGGAGAAGAATGGAGTTTAAAATTGAGAGGCAGACTCTTAAGGTTGAAGTTAGATCTGAATAGTTTTTGTTAGATTCTGTATTATTAGTGGATATTCTTTTTCTCGGCTGAGAATTTTACTCTTGTTCTTCACGGAAGGTCCTAGTATAAAAGTTCCGATTCAGAAACCAAACCAGCCATTTAGAAATTCATCTATTTTGCCTTTTTGAATTTTCTTCATTGGAGTAGAACTTTATTATGAATGAGATTGATTTGATTTTCTTCAATTCGAATTGATGTGATTGTTTACTTTGCAATTTCTATATATGTCTTTTAATATCTAGGAATGGATATTTATAAAATCTAAAAGTTACTCGAACTCGAGTACATTATACAAAGCTCTGTTGGACAGGAATGCAATACCATCTGGTCCGTCCAAGTAAGTAAGTACACTGTGCCTGTCTGTATTGAATCAATCATTATTATTCATATGTATATTCCTAAATAAGTGCTTGTATTGGATATGAATTGGATCTAAGTAAATGTTTTATTCAAGATCAATGTCATTTTTTATTTTACCCCTCCTTCCTTCCTCCTATCAAATGGATGAGCCTTTTCAGGGCTGGAAACCTCGGGCGAATATATTACAAGTCATTATACTAACATATCATGAACCCCTCCTCCAAGTCCCCTCGCTAAGCGCGTGAAGTCCATCTATCTTCATGAAACATCTACTCGTATCACAATGTATTTAAGCGGAATATTTGAATTCTGAAGCTGTCCTTTATCACAGCAGCTGGAATTTCAGTAAACTTTCCCTTCTCTTCTCTTCCCTTACCTCTTTTTTATATTTAGAAGGGTTTATTTCTTATTTCTGGGCACTTTTCTACTTCTTACTTCTCAAATGTGTCTCAATACCTGAGACATGCGTCACTATCGCCATCTTTTCATTCTTCATTCTTCATTCTTCAACTCTTCACTCTTCTACTCTTACCTCTTACCTCTTCAATCTACCCCCACCAAATCTGTATGCCGTACCTATAACTACCCCCTACTCATCTGAAACCATGCACTTGTCCGTAGTATTTGACCTTGATCTTGGTATCTACATGACTACTATCTGTATCATCATCATCATCATCATCATCATCATCATCATCCTCCACATTCTTCATCCGCGTCTTGCGCCAGTTCGGAAAAAGAAAAAGCAAAAAATTAAATCTCGTTCAAAACATGCAGCAAGGTGGACGGACGGGCGTAAGTGTATCCACACAAAAATTACCCCTCCATGATTTGATCGTATGGTATTGTATCTGAAAATCATTATGCCCACCCGCTCCCCTCATCTTGGGGATTGTCACTAATGTGCATGCTATATATTATTATATCTTCAAATTTCGCCTTTACATGTTGGAATTAATTCGTGAATATATTTTTTGAGATGACTACACTTTCTGTAGTGGTTCACGCATGCGATAGATGCATACAAGTAGTCAAATCTCAATCTTCAGATGAACTCCCCGTTCCGAGATATTCAACCAAAAATTGCAAATCCCAATCACCGGGTTATCAGTCACCTCGTTTACGATATCTATCATTCCCGTTTTCGTGAAGCCAACTATTTGAGAGTGACGATATCTGGCAACCCTTCTTAAATCGAGGTTCTCCACAGATGTAACCCCAAGTAATTGACAGCTTCCATTTTCCAAGACGTCCTGCCCCAAAAAAGTCCTTTTGGTCGACTCGCATTACACTTGCAGGCATTCGGAGGATCTTGTGTCACCATATGCAATGAGAAGATCAGTGATTTATTCATGGAAGCTTGTCACATCCTCCAAACGAGATGCTGCATGTAAGTTCCTCCGTAGTAGGTTTACAGACACTTCCTGATACCAACATCATTTGATACATCGATACAAACCTTGTAGAAAGGTCGTAAAGATAATGTACTATGGGTATGTATATTTCTACAAATTTGCCGTCGGGGATTGCCTCATTTTTGGTCCACGGGCTTATCCTGAAACCCAAGCAGCCGCTCTATTGACTCCAAAGTTGGTCGCAAGTCGAAGACCACTGGAGCCCATTGGGAAGTAGCTGACCAGATACCAAGTCAAGCATATTATTTGAACAATGGCCGAGATTAAGGTCAAAGGTTTGCTTCGAAGCTACAAACACCATGTAAATTAGCAAGAAAGATGGTAGGGTATCACATATCGGAGACAAGACTTACACCCAAACTGAAATATAGGGTCAACCCGATCGATCCAAAATAAGTCGCAGTGAATGGAAGGCGTGGCGCTGATATCAGGTGGTTCATGTAAGTCCACGGGCCCATCATCGCGGCCCATGATGCGAGGAATAACATTGAACCTAGGGTCCATCTAGTTGTCACACGCTCCAAGTCAGTTCTGAGGGTGTAGATGTATGAATCATAACTTCGTAATCGTTCATCGTAAGTGATCGACAAACTTCAAGTCTCCATACGCAATGCCCGACGGGTAGTTGCATGAACGCGATATTGGAGTGCTTCGACTCGTATTGGACCAAGCTTGCAGGGTATGAGTTTAAAATAGCAAGGAAAGTGAGACTCACAGAATTGCAAACTTGGTTGGAAGAACAATCAAGTATGGGAATAATACGAAACAGATAACAAAGCAGGCCAATGCACCGATATTGAACCCGGCAAATAATAAAAGACGATCCCACCTACTCACTGAATAATCAATTTTTGAAGTAACATGAAAGACAATCAAGCCACACTAAACACCACCAATACACGTCGCACCAGATGGCGGCGGACGCAGGGACGGTGCAACGTGTGGGGAAATCGAAAAGGTTCGGTAGGTTAACTTACAGGCAAACCATCCTTCCTCTTCTTCACGTCGATTTCGGCCAGGAAGAGGCGCTCCCGCACCCTCTGTGGTAGGTAGTCGAACATAGCCACTATCTCCAAATGGATTCAGCGATTTTATTGAAGATAGAAGGCCGCCGGTCTGCTGAGCAGTGTTGACGGGGAGGTCCGGATCGCGACGTGACCACCCTAGGGAATTCATGGAATCTCTGAAAGACGAAGAAGCCATTATCGCGTTGATCCTTCGGCAGTTGTGTAGTATTAAGGTTGTTTTCTCACCCCTGCAGTCCCTTTCCCAGATGCCGTGAATGTTCAAGATAAGGTAGGTAGGTAGTTGGTCCGAGTTGAAGGACCTAGGTAGTTTAGATGTGAGCCGATATTTGGTTGAAGAAAGTACGGCCGTTTATGTCCTACTCAGTATAATTCGTCTGCAGGTATGTCGTGCGTTGATCGGCCTCGTGGAAATAATGCGACTGGTTTCTTTGCGAATGTTGAAAAGGGTGTCCAATGACCTCTTCGACGAACAGGGTTACGGTTGAATAGAATATCTCTTTGCGATAGAAAGATTCCCTCGTGATCAATGTAGAGGCTCTCGATGATGTGTGATGAACGTGGGATCTGTGATTGGAGGACAGTTTGTCGCAGTCAGCAGGAATGGGGGAAGGGGGTGTAGCTTCTGAGAAGGATCGGAATGAAGAGTAAGAAGACGAGAGCTTCTAGGCTTTTAATTAAAAAGGTATGCGATATGCCTATTTGAAATTATTGTTGTGGGTTCCTTTTAACGCTGATGGTGTGGTGGAATAAGTCAAGAAGTTCATGAGGAGAAGTTGTTGGTTTGGCACTATAATGTCTCACATAATATGACGCTAGTCGGTACGGGCCAAGCGAACCAAAATGAAGGGAGCTTGGAAGTACTGAGGAGTAAGAAGAATATGTGCCCCAAGAATAGAATACTCGAGTAGTACCTATCTATCTATCTATTCATCAAATATACGAGTATCGAGATACAGCATATGTATTATAAAATCGCCTATTTCTTTAATATGATATTGGCGTGTGGCTCAACTTCAAGACAATGCAACCCATCTCATCTTTCTGTCCAGGGTAGTCAATATGTTGTTGGTCTGAGTAAAATTGTAAGAATGAGTAGGTGGGTGTGAAAGGGTGGTTCACCAGGCTCAAGGGGGGTGGAAAGTATGAGTCTTCGATGTCACCTATTTCTAATATTGAGTTATTGAGTGAAACCTTCCCAACCTTTTATCTTTATGCCTCCCTCTCAATATAGGTCAAGTGGCTTAAGCCTGTATGCATCATGAGAGAAGACATAAAAGGATATCCTCGCCTCCTGGACCTCTCAACTTCTCCCAAAATTTCCTTTCCCAATTACAATTCCTACAGCCTGGACTTTCTTATACAAACTGTATAATATTTGTATGTCTTGTACAACATTTATTGTTCCAAGCCGAGGTCTACAAACATAACTTCAGTTCACCTTACCTAGACTCATACCTATCTTATCATCTTATCCCGTCTTACTCAATCGTGTAAGACTTTCGGTTATACCATATAATCCTAAGAATTCTCGAAAGTGGAAGCACCCGTTTCACCGCACAGGCTGAACTCGAAGGAATAAACATCTTGCCGGTCCTTGTCGGCGACATATCACATTATTGAGTTTCTTGATCTCACTCATTCCTCTCTCTTCACGGAAACGAAAGAACCGAAGAGAACGAACTTTACCTCTTTCTGATAAAGATTAAATTATTCATCCCATCGGAGACGGCGCTTTTACAACAAGCTTTCGAGCTTTATTTTATTCTGTAAAAGGAGATAAATAATTCCTTATCAATTATCTACCCCGCTATCACTCGAAATATTACCGGCCGGATAGAATCGTATTCCTTCTTTGCCATTGGAAAAATACGGTACTTTACTCCCCTTTCTCATTCGCTGGCTCAAGTACAACGTTTGACGACAATGAATAAAAGAAGAAGCTAATTGAAAGTTATTGTCCTACCTCTAGATAATTTCAACTCTCGGTCCAATTATTTTCAATAATTTTGACAGAATAAAGATATACCTACTCTTTCCTACAATTCACCTATGTGAAACAATAAGGCGATCCAATTAAAAGCATACCGGTATCCGATTGCTATCCGATCAACTCTCAAATAAAATCACCGAAGATCCCATTTTTGACATCGCTAGACGCGCTTTATTCGTCATTTCATTACTTTTACGCCAAGTTCCGAATTTGACCATCCATCCGCCCCGGATTTCAAGGGACAAGGGAGACGGGAAAATAATTTACATACACACACAAATAACAATTCACAAAGCCATAAAGAAGAATAAGGATTCGGTCTAACTCGAGTACCCATACATATAAGGCTATTTAAACCTCCAAGTTCTGAGGGAGCACTTTGGAACTTCTTTTAACCTTTTCTCCACTCCTCTTCCTCCATCCTTTCCTCTCCTCTCCTCCTCCTCCTCCACATATCCATCACCTATCACCTACCACCTACCACTCACCAGTGTTCTCAATCAAAGCGACTCAAGACCACCACCAATCTCGCAACCAATCAATCTTCACCTCAACCTCAATTTTAACCTGGTACTATTCTATTCTATTCTATTCTAACCTTCACACTTTATTCTAAAATAACACTCAGTTTATCCTTTTCTACTTCCCGCCGAAAACTTGAAATAAAGGATATCTTGTTATTATTTATCATTATTGTTTCTATCCTTGTCACAAACCAGACCCCATCTTCCTCACTCTCACAAAACTCTCTACTGTCCCACACATATTCTCAACGAAGGGAAATTAAATTTCTATCGTCTGTCAAATCAATCAATCAATCAAAAATCAAAAATCACATTGTGCGACCCTCGGTCACTTGCTACCGAGAGTAAAAAGGTTATCCCCACCGCCTTTCACCGAAATATCGTGAGTTATCCCACACAACGGCTGTTTTGGCACACATTCAACTTCTCCGCCTTTTTCTAGCGCACTACTAGCAGAAAAGGTAACCTTCATTCCCCTCTTGGGTTGACAACTCAATTATTCCTTCTTCACTTCTCTTCACCCTCTCTGCCTTGTAAGAGTCATCAAGGAAAGAAATATACTGACGATCTGTCGGACAAGGCCCCCCTCGCGATAATAAATCCACTTCGCCCTACTTTACTTTACCAGCCAAATTAAAGACCAGACAGACAGACTGTCGTGGTCTATTATCCAACACGAAGTTTAAGAAATATCAAGAGTACCAGTACAATCTATTACTCAGGATCAGCATCAGTTTCATTCCTGCTTACACCTTCGAACTCGATAAGTGCGCATCCTTTCCATATATGCATGTTCCCCTACGACGGCTGAGCAAACGAAACAATCTGTATCGTTGAAGCAAATATTCTGTCACTTTGCCAGTTATGGACATGCTTGCTCCAATGGCTAACGTTTGTCACACATATAGATAACGATCACCTTTGTTGCAAAAGAGGTGCAAATACAAACAAGCAACCAACGACAAGACATATAACTTCCTCAAAAACCTTATAGTCAGGAGCCAAAATGGCTGGCACGGGTGCGTCGAGCCCGTTTATCAAAGACGAGCCGGATGATCAATTCTTCCCCTCTCACAACCAAAGATTCATGTCGAACCCACAAAGCTTCGGTCTTACCCAGACACACTTCAATCAATTTGGTTCACATGGAGGCAGCATAAATCCCAATGAGTTGGCTGTTGGCAGCAATGGCATGTCCATACCAAATGGTGGATATGGAACCTCCTTCCAGAACAACTTCTCAACTCAGCCCTCGAACCCAAGCGCAAGCTTCTCAAAGGGTATCTCAACCTTTAACGATGACGAATTGCTGGATAGTCTGGACCCCATAAATGTTCCACACTCCAACCACGGTGGAATGCAAAACAATGGCCAAGATTTCGGTATGGAGTTCGATTTCAACAACGGACATAACATTTACGGAGGCAACAATGGAAATGGCTTGGTTGTCGACCCGAATATGAATGGCTATTCGAACACTCCAGATGGCGATCCTATTCAAAGCCCCTTTGTTCACAACTTCAACCAAGCGCAATTCAGGCATATGCAAACGCAGCACAACTTTGGCTCGTCGCTTCAGTCCCCTGTTTCTTATGCAGGTTCTCCGTTAAGCGGTGCAGACCTGCATAACGGAACTGGAGATAACAACTTTACTAAGCAACAACGGCCAAGATTGGCTCAAGTGGGATCTGGAAGGAAGGCATCCAACACTAGAAGTCCATTAACACCGAAGACTCCTGCGATATCATCTCTGAATCTTGGACCAGCAGACCAATCGAACTTTCCCACTCAGCCAATTCGTACTAATCATGTCCACCGACATCAGAAGACTTTATCTGGTCAATGGGATCAGACACCGAACAGTCTTGGCTCCTTTCCAGGCTCTGAATTCGGGTCTCCTGTTCAAGGAGTACATCCAAACCCGCAGATTTCCGACATTCTCAAGGGTACTTCGATGCCTACGAAGCTCAACAATGGACACGGATCAGCGAATGCGCCAGGTTTGCAATCTCAGGAAATGAAAAGAAGACGCCGACGAGAATCACACAACCTTGTTGAGAGAAGAAGACGAGATAATATCAATGAGCGCATTCAAGAGTTGAGTCATCTCGTTCCCCTTCATCGACTCGAAGATGAGAAAGTACGCAAAGCCATCTTGAACAATTCTCCCTTATCCCCGACTCTCACGGCTACATCACAACCACCGCCAAATGGAATGAGCCCTCCTCCCCAAGCTACTTCGGGTCTTGCCGGCCCTGGTGCTCGGAGGGCCACAGGGAACATCACTACCGGTATTCCGATCGAAGAGAAAGACAAGGGACCAAACAAGGGCGATATCCTCAACGGTGCTGTGAGTTGGACTCGGGATCTCATGTGGATGTGTCATCGTCAGGCTCAACAAATGGAAGATCTTGCCAATCTCATCGCGGAACTGGGTGGAACATGGCCATATGAGAAAACCGAAGACGAGAAGCGCATGCACACTGAATTGATGGATGCTATGGCTAAGAATGGCGAAGCCTCTTTCGAATATACCCGACGTCCTGGTACAGGTTTGAGGGTGCCAAAACATACCGACATGAAGGGTGATTTGGAACCTCGCTCTAATTATTCTCAACTTGACAATTCTTTGAGTCCGGACAACCATAGCAGTACAGATGCTGGTCAAACTGGTATGGGTGGTCCGGGTCAATATTGGAGTGGGCACAACAGCGGAGGTAGCGGTCCTGGCTCGATTAGCTTTAAGGAAGAAGATGAATACACCATGGATTTGGGTCAATGAGAAATCCATGTGGTTGATTGATATGTATTTGGTCATCCAATTACGAGGGAATTTCTTATGATTTTGAAGGCAGGGAAACAAGGAATTTGTCACCAATTTGCATGCACTTTTCGCGTCGCATCTTTGATTTTACTCCACTGGCGTTTTCATCTATGCATTTAATGGTAGTTATGGGTTTGAAGAATTGCTCGCAGAAGGCGAGTCAATCATAGGGATGGAATATGGATACTAAGGGCTTTTCCAATCAGGGTTGGGATTTATAATTTGTTGGAGATGGACACTGGGTTTATTCGCATGCATCAAGCTTTCATCCGGATCGATTTTTCATTTCTCTATATGCATCTGTCTTTGCGGTTTTGCGTCCCTTCACAATGATACCTGTACATCGGGATACCGATGTTTGCTTGTTAGTTTTCTTACTTTGCTTTTACGATTTGATAGAGAGAATCAAATGGGGCTTTTTTGCTTTCTGCTTGCTGCCGATTTTGCTTCCAATTGAAACCCCCCCCTCCCCCCCCTTTTCCCCCAAACACCTTAGCTCGCTTAGTTAGTACTTGACATCTTTCCTACCCATCTGGTAGCCTAGATCTGAGATCTCATTCAGAGGTTGCTTATCAACGAATGAAATATACGAAATCAACTCCACTTTGGGCGCTTCATGGCTATGTGCAGTGCCAAGTACCACAATGTTCTGCTGGTTCTTTACCCCCCGTTTGTGGGTTCCACTTCTTGCCCTTCTGAGTTGTTTTGACATGTATGAAGTGCTTATGTATATGCACTCATGCTGTAGAAAGTATGCTAATGGTAGACCACAAGAGGAAGACCCCTGCTAACTTGACAGCAAATCACATACCGTCTGGCGACTCGAGTATGCAAGTGCGTGTTTAGAGTACATGTCTAAGCCATAGTCCTGCGACATGGACAAACAAGACCTCTCTTTCCGTATCCGTCTTAGGAATTCCACTTTTCGAAGGGGTGGATGGTTCAAGTATGTTGTGTATCGGGTGCTAAGAACGCTGGGGTTTGGTAAATGATCGTAAGTGTGTGGGATGTGAAGTTAGGAAGTGAGTTTAAAATGGAGCTGGACGTTTACATCCGGAGTTTGTGTGGCGCTTACCTGGAATGAATGAGTGTAGGTTGTGAGTAATGATTGATGGGTGGTGCGGAGATAGGTTGGGTAACGGGGGTGGTTCATGGAGTCGAGTGATGGAGATGTATTGTTGGAGTGAGACGGAATTTTAGATTGGTACTGATTGCTTTATGGAACAAGATACCTGATGGATAGGTTTGATTGGTGAGATTTAGCTGAGGTGACTAACAGATCCATTGACAACTTGTTACTTTTGCTGTTGAGAGGCTACAAATTGTTCCAGTGTAGTCTAAACCTTTCCGCTCTCTGCCTTCCTGTTTTTTTTAAATTATTATTAAATTATTTAATTATATATAATATATCACGGGGCTGGTACGGGTGCTAGTGGGAACTAGGTAAGATGTATGATATTCGACAAGGAGAAAAGGAGGCGTGTGAAATGACGCCAACTATATGGTGAATAGATGCCTAAGGCATTTATTCGAGCTGCTTTTACCGAGTTAGCAATATTATTCTTCAAGTTTGAGCCTAGTTATCCCACTAATATTACATTAGCCATAATTGGAATGGAGAATCTGGTTTCGGGAGATATATCACTTACTTGTTGCTTTGAAACCTTCGCAACAAAAGCTTTACGTTCCTCCGTGACAGCTTTTGTCCACATTTTTCTCGATGTGGGAGTTTGTGTTCATAGTAGCATCTGTCTCACCATCCACACATCCACCAATACAGCTAAAAAAAGACCTTGGGTATTCCAGAAACTGATCTCTACACTTGGAACACAATTCTTGGGGTAAATGATACGGACTGTAATACTGAGATTTTTGCTGGCTACTACTATTGCATTGACGTTGAGACGATGAACACGGCTACGACATCTTCAAATGCATCTTCAACGGCGGTGACGGCGCCGGAATCTACACATTCTGGTATTATCAGCACGTGCAACAAATTTGCAGAGACTGTCAGCGTTGATGTATGTGAGTCTTTTGTTGATAGAGAAGGTATCACACCAGCCGAGCTATATGTTTGGAATCCAGTTCTTGGAACAGATGGTGCAAGCTGTAATATAGAATTGGAGCTAAATGAATACTAATGTATTGGTATCTCTGCTACAACTCCTGCAATTGCTTCGACGCCAGCAGGGTCTACCCAGACACGTGTCATCAGCACTTGCAATAAATTTTCGGAGTCTATAGCTGGTGATGGATGTGTAGACTTTGCTATCTCAGAGGGAATAACGGTCGCAGAGCTGTATGCTTCCAACCTGGCTTTAGGTATTGAAGCTGCGAACTGTGGTTCAAGCTTCTGGTCAATCGAGATGTATTGTGTGGAAGTGAGTACTTAAAATGGCTGAAGTATAAGGATTTTTTGGTTGGTCTACAACTCAACATTGTGACCAAAGTAGCGTTACAGCTTCGCCTAAGTGCACCAGACTCTCTTAGCTTGTGCGACTCTATTGTAAATATCTCATAGTGTTTGAGCTTTACTCAACACTCAATACAATCAATCAACTTCTTCAATATATCTTCTTGTGAGATCTCCCATTTTGAGAGAAATATGTACATTATATTGTTATCTATTATAAGATGACTGACTGGAAAACAGTATTCTAAAGAATCCAAATCTTACGCGATACCCTCTCTAACCAAAGATGAATGGCTTAAATTCCGCCATTCGTATTACAGGCTCTTCGAAATATTTACAAAATCAATGTGAAGTATTCACGTCAGATATGGTTAAGGGCTACTTTCTCAAGACTATATACATTCAAACCTACTAATATCAATGAACACGTATAACAATGTCCATTATGACCCATCGTCCACTCTTCTTCGCCTTTCGCCTTTCGCAAACTCTTGTCAAACGATGCAAGCCAAACATCTAAGCAAACTCAATGAGATAGTAAGAGTTGCGGCCATCACTCACCGCACACCTAGCGATTTCACACCAAAAACCATCATTTCTTCAACTTTTTAACCTAATAATAAAATTCTGGGATTATTAGAAAGTAATGCCCTATAACATGGTGGAAATAGCAGTATTATTGACTATCTTAAAAAAGATTGTATTAAACTATTTAAAGAGAAGAAGATACACAAAACGATCTCAATTATATAGTAAATGAATATCTAAAGTATTTATCCGAATTAGAATAAGATAGGGTAAGATAGGATAAGATAAAATAAAATAAGGTAAAATAGATAAAGATATAAAATATATAATATATAATCTCAATTTTTAATATTCTTTTATTAAAGTTATTTCCTTTTATATTCTAGGGTAGATACCTGGAATAGCCTCATTTTCAACTTT